ATTGATTTTTACCGTAATAAAAGTACCTTATTGATCTTTGTTGTAATAAATCTTACACTTTCGGTTTTAAACATGATACATGTTTTTATTTGACACAAATGAAATAAATCACATGAATTAAAACAACTAAAAAGTGGAAAGGTTTCTTCTTAAAAAATTTATTTTTCTAACTTTATCGATTTTTCAAAAAGGGAAACTAATGAATCTATATGTATCACTTTTGTGAATCTCTTGAAAATAATCTTGATTTGATAACTTAAATGGGTTTTATCTTGATTTTTTAAAATTTATAAATTGAGATTTCTTATGCTTAAGTCAAGATTCTATATGCATGAATTAATGTTTTGTTCTCTTATTAGATTGAATGAATTCTATCTTTTTCATGATTTCTCAAGAATTCTTTATATTATTTATTTAAGAGGAGATTTGTTAAAATGAATCACCGTTTCTTTTGATTTTTCGGAATTATAACTTGAGTATTCATTTTGTAAATCAAGATTGTTAATAATGATTCTCTCGTTTTATCAAAGAGAACATTTTTCAAAATGAATAATTAAGCTATTTTCTCTTGATTTTTTGATACCCACAATTTGAGAAAATGTACCTTGATGCTAGAAACATTTTATGCATAAATTGATTTTCTTTATGATTCAATACTCTTTGTAATTATGATATGTTTATCGCATGATATGATTGAATCACTGTTATAAAAGAAAAATAAAATTGTTAGCTTGCTAATTGCAAAAACATATGCTAGCTTGAATGATAAAACATGAGATTGTCTATAATGCAAATTTATTGTTCTTATGATGTATAGATTGAGATAATGATTGGAGTCTTGATAGTTTTTATGACAAAATTTATTTTCGATCCTAAATGATTGATGATATATATATATATATATATATATATATATATATATATGTTTTGGCACAAAAAGGACAAAGACATGCTTGTATGAAACAACTAAATAGAGAAAAGTATTTTTCTTGAAAATTCTTTTTCTCTATCTTATTGACTTTGATGAATCCATTTGTATTATTTTTATGAATCTCATGAATTATTAAAATGATTTGAATTTAATGGATTTTATTGAAATAATGATCTTGATTTCTCATAATTATAATTTGAATTTTCTATTGAATGAATCAAGATTGTTTTCTATTTAAAAGCAGATTTGTCGAAATGTTTCATAGTCTTTTAGTATTCATGATCTTGATAATTATATTTTGAAACTTTATGTAAATCAAGAATGTTCATCATGATTCTCTCTTCAAATATTTAAAGAGAAGAATTTTCTAGATAAATCATGATTTTGATGATTGAATATTTGATATGCATGAATTTAGATCTTGCTCTCCTACTATTCTTTTTGCTATTTACCAAAAAGAAGACTAATTCTAATAAACCATGATATGCTATATGAATTTTATTATATTCATGAAATAATATCTCATCACCAAATTTTTTTTGATATTCCTAATGTGATGGAATGAAATTATGCATGAAATACAAATGGGGAGAAGTTGTGATCATGCATGGTAGGAGATAATTTGATAAGTTGATACCATGAAACATTTATGATTTGCAATGATGCATGCAATACTTGTGCTTTCTAATTATGATGTGATGTATTGCATATGATATAAATCATGATTCAAAATACTATGAGTTGTTGCTAAAATGATGTATTATAAATGTTGATTTAATGTTTTGTATCATGAATGCTCTAAATGATGAATGTTTAATATCATGATCAAAATGTTGATAAATAGTTAAAAATTTTAGTATCATGTATGATATCCTCATAATGTTGATCGATTTGTTCAATATCGTGCATGAATGAAATATAAGGTTTTTGAAAATGTATATATTTTAATTTAAAAATATAATAATGCATAAATAAGATTGATACTTACCTTTGTCATAAATGAGGGAAAGGGTCTTCCCTTCTTTTTGACAATGATAAAGGGGGAGATAGCTAGCTTGCACAAGTCAAGAAAATATAAAAACTTGATTATCTTCTTGCATATCTAAAGAGAAGATGCAAATGTAACACTTGCCTAATGTAAAACATTATCTCTTGCTAGTTTGGCATTTTGCTAGCTTGCACTTTGCAGAAAAGCAAAAATGACACTTCCCAAAAGAGAAGAAAGAGCTTGCTATCTTGAACATGATAAGCTTGCTTATCGTAAGAAACAAAAATTGCAAATAGTTAGCTATCTCAAAATGCAAAATATGCTAACTTGCTACGGAAGCAAAATTGCTAGCTCAAACATTGCAAAGGAAGCAAAAATTTGCTAGCTTACAACTTGCATGTCGTGAAAATTGCTAACTAGTAGTCTAAAGAGAAGCAATCAGTTGCTATCGCAAGAAAAGCAAACATGCTAAACTTACACATCTTTAAATGCTAGATTGCATGATGATGAAATTTGATACTATGTTTTTGTATTGAACTTAGATATTTCAAAATACATAAGAGTTGGAACTTCTCCTTTTTGTTGATGACAAAGGGGGAGAAGTATGTTGAGGTCATGTCATGATTTGATCATGATATGTTGCTTGGATTTTTTAATCCAAGAGTTTCTATCAATACGACATATTGATAGGGGGAGTTTGTTTAAACTCTGGGAGTTAAGGTTAACTCCGTCATCAAGTGGTTGTCATCATCAAAAAGGGGGAGATTGTTGAATCTCGTATTTTGATGATGAAACCACTTGATATGTGTTTATGATTTAATCTGCGTTTTGAGTGACGCAGGATGCTTCGATCAGGATGAGACAATTAAAGCAGAAAAATCATGTTGTGCCGGAGGAACATGTCAGAAGATTGGACGTAGGGCCGATGGATCGGTCGACGTATCGACAGAAGACTTCGGGCCGTGGATTCGGGCATCGGGCTAAGAAAAGCGGGTATTGCGCCAAGGATATCGGAGTTGCGGAGTCAACTGGCCGATTGGGCAATAGGCCGCAAGAGAGGACGATGCGCCGAAGAATCGGACGAAGCGTCATAAGACCAATGACATGCCGGACAACTTGATTATTGCTTTGTATTAATTATCTCGATCGAAGTTTTGTTAAGTGTGCAGGATTAACTACGATAGCTTGAAGACATAAAGCAAGTCTACCAGAGTCAAGTTCGATGGGTGTTCAAGAGTCCACAAGAAGTCCGAAGAATCGTCAGAAGTGCTGCCGGAACCAACCGAGAAGGAATCGAGGACTTGTCGAAGTTTTCGGAAGTCCGTCGGAAAGATCGTCGGAGGTTCGTGGAGATCACCGAGAAGATTCGGATACTTGCCAAAGACTAGTTGAACTCGCCACAAGACCAGGAGCCTGTTGGGAGTCCGCCGGAAGAAATCCGAGGGTGTATCGAAAGTCCGTCGGAAGTTCGCCGAAAAGCTCGCCGGAAGGAAACTCGACGTTGCCGGTTAAAAACTTGCTTAGGACTATGTCTTAAGCTCGTAGTTTGTATGTAATTAGGGTTAGGATTAAGGGTTAATCCTATAACCCGGTTAGGGGCCAATTGGGCCCGAGGTCGGACTGGTTTGGGCCAAGTTTGGAGCCCAACCAGTGAGCTGAAATAGTCTAGGCGGTGGCACTGCCCAGCACCCGAGAAGTCAGGCGGTGGCACCGCCAGCTTCGGGAACCCAAGAGAATTCAAAATTTGGAGCTCAAATTTGAATCCTCTTGGGGTCTATAAATACCCCTCAATTCTCAATAGAGAAAAAAACCTTTAGAGAAGCAATAGATTTAGATAAAAAGCCTTAGCAAGTCTTGTTTCAATTGCTTGAGTGTTCACCTCCTTCTTTCTCTTTGAAAATTTGTAAGAGTATGAACCACTTGTAAAAGGTTGTAAGAGGGGTATTTTGTCCTTCCCCTTCAAAGTGATTTGCTAGTGGAAGTTGGGAGCATCATCGAAGAAGGCTTCGCAAGTGGATGTAGGTCATTTGACCGAACCACTTTAAATTGGTGTGTTCCTTGAATGTGTGAGTACTTACCTTTCCGAAATGTCGACGTCAACGTAGATGGTAGTGGTCATCGCAGTGTCTACGGCGAAGATGGTGATCATCTCGTCGTTGACCAATTGAACAAATCCCAATCTTGACCCAAAGCTAGGGTTGCTAGAGCTCTTACCGCTTTCCTCATTGTCGCATTAGTTCTCGCACCATCTTTCGTTGAGTGGTCCTTTTGTCGCTCTACATCTGTATCGACGTCGATGTAGTTATCAAGCGACAAAAGGACCACTCGGCATCTGCATAAGCCTATAGATAGATGGAATTGATATGGCAGTGGGGGAGCAGTAGGAGCACTAGCGACCCGAGCTTCAGGTTAAGGTTAGGATCTACTTAAAGAGTCAATAGTGAGACGGCCACCGCTCGACAACTACGTCAACGTTTACGCAAATGCAAAACAACATAGGATGAGTAACAATAAGGTCAACGATAGACTCCTCATGGAGGTGAGTGACATCACAATGAGAGCAAACCTTATCATAGGAAACCAAGCAACTACTTTAGTGTCAACACCAACGACCCCACCGTACACTACCATCGACACCATCCACCAACTAATGTTAAAATTACTTTTTTACCCTTTATTTTCATGTTTCTATTGATACAACTAATGTTATTATAATAAATAAACTTGAATATTTTATTTTTATAATTATAAGGATGTCAATATAACTTTTTAAAATATAAAAATTAAAATACTAAAAATAGTTAACTACATAATATAATATATAATTAGCCCTAGAATATCCCCCTCCCCCATCGAAAACAAAGAGTCAAAACTATTTTTCAACCTCACAGGAGACCTCATGGATAAGAGATTAATACGACGTACCAATTGGTACCGTTTCCTAGTTACCATTGCATAAATATACTTGAGAAACCATAACTTTCCTTTCCTATGAGAAACCATATCTTCCTAGATGTGGTCGGACCAGCAAAGATTTGTTGTGCAGTACAAGTTTCTCTGATGCAGAACCATCTTTAGAGATACGTGAGATTGCATTATGTATATTTTTCAGCAGGGCTAGAAGAAACTTATAATTATTATATAATACCTTCGAAGGTTACTCACTCAGTTACAGACAACATCAGAGTAAAAGCCAATTGTTCTTCGCTGGCAGTCTTTCACATCGAGTAGTTCTACATCGAAAACTTCGAACTGTTTTGCGCTGAAGAACGTAGAAGGCCCAACCTGTAATGAACAGACCAATCATCAGTTCCTGTTGGCATAATGTTACGATCCATCTGGACCAGGAAATATATGAAAAGAAAGAAGATAATGCACCATGGATACAGTTACTAATAAAATTTACCTGCATGCTGTTTTTAGTACAATGGTAGCCTTGGACCTTGGTCCCTTCTGATCCTGTTGAATTTGGAACCGGAACCAAATCGGTTCAAGACAATTCCAATTTCGGTTCAACAATAGTTTTTTTTTTAATTTTTTAATTTTAAGTTTTCCAAAATATCCCTCCGAACAGCCATTCTTTTAAACTATTGGAAAAGGCAAATTCATCATTTACAAGGGTATTTAGTTAAGGAGGTTACTATTTAGAGCCCCTTTTTACTATTAACAAATCCCTTACTATTCACAATCCCTTAACAAATTAATAAAATAATATTTTACAATTTACAGTCCCACTAATTTCGATTTCATCTCTTCTTTTCCTTCCTCGAACACCCTGCCGTTGTTGATGCTCCTCCCCTCCGATCGTTACCCCCCAGACCGTGCTCCCTATTGTCGCTGCTACCCCAGTTCACACTCCCTGCCACCAATCATTACCCCCAGCCTACGCTCCACCACCCCCTTAATATTATCCTTCGAGGAGGAGGAAGAAGAAGGGGATGAGAAAACGAAAAGATATTTATGTTCATTTACAAAAATATATTATTAAAATATTAAAAAAATTTAAAAGAAGATTGTAAATAGTAAAGAGGGGGTTGTAAATAGCATCGAAAATTGATTCCAATTCTAGATTCTAGGAATTGGGACCAAACCGCTAGAACCTGGTTCTGATTCAATTTGGAATAACGAAACCGTTGACCTGGTTTGGTTATATGGTTCTTAACCAGTTCGAACGGAATGTAATCAGGTCTACATAGACCCTAAAGTGGTCTGAAGTTACTAAAAACTTACTAGAACATCTAGATCTAACAAAACAATCTTCTAAACCACTATAAAAGCAGGTCACAAGTTACTACAACACTAATCAACTTGAACAACATAGTCTAAATTAGTATAAAAAGCTATCTTTTATAGGACTTCATGTTCATTCAGCTACAAACTCAAAGGAAAAGGGCCAAAATGCAGCTTATTCGTGACAACTATAGTCTGATGTAATATTTGCGGGCCTTTTTAAACCCGTTAGAATTGAAAGATCCTGCAGTGCATAGGGAGATAGGGAATGACCCGAGTGATGACAACTTCAAGAAGAATAAAAAGAAAAACTTGTAACTTACTGGAGGCCCTAGTTCTGGAGGAATAATGAGTCTTCTTTTCCCCCCGGGTCGCATATCTCTTATTCCTTCTTCAAATCCTGCATTGACTTTTATATCCTCTTTTACAATTACAAAGAAAATGTCAACAAATTATTCTTGTACATGTATGCCGAAAACTTGCCTGGAACTAATGATTTATTTCCTAATCGAATCTTGGCAGGTCGGTCCTGCAGATAAGTGCTATCAATACGACGGCCTGATTCGTTGTAACCAGTATAGTGAAATGTCACCTGTGATCCACATCATCTACAGTCAAGAACTTATTTAGACGCCCATGGAAGAAAGGGCACTAAAACAATCAGACAAACTTCCTGAACGAGAAAGACTGGAAATATCAGTAACAGATCATCAAGCAAGGAACAAATTCATGAATGGCTTCGAATTTATGTATTTTGCCTTCAGCAAGAGACATATTCAGAGGTCCTTGCTCCTTAGGAGTCTGAAATCAAATAGAAGCAGACCCATTTCTACTTCTAAACATGAGAACAGATTGCTTTCATATCCATTTCTACAGCTTTCTATTGTAATTAATCTTGCCAATCATCCTTTAAGCAGATTAAATAAGTGCTACAAAGATATCATATGGCTATATATTGTCTACCAGAAAATTTGGTTGCTCTTATTTCAATGAGCATCCAAAAGATTAATCATATACATAATAATAAAATGTAGAAGCAGAATTTGTCTATATTTCTTTCAAGATAAAATAAAAGGATTAACCTGTTGTCCATCCTTTGGGCAATCACCTTTACCGACTAGTATGTCCAGATATATAAGTCCAGAGTCACACTTTACATAGCCATCAGATATCACTACTTTGACTTGAAAACCTGGATTATATTTGGTGGGCAAAAATTAGTTCCATATGCTCAACAAAGGCATCTATATTACTTACCAACATAGCAATTAAAAGAAATTATAACACAAGCACTTATAGTGGTCAAATTATAATGATCAGATGTACTGAGATGAAAAACATAGAAGCTTACTATTCCATCCGAGTGTCATGTAAATTTACATCATCATAAAAAATTTAATATCAAATAATGTACAACAGTTATTGGTTTCACAGAAGCATTTTAGTAACATATATACTAGCAAATAAAACCGAATTCAGTCCCTTAAATTTCATATGAAATAATGCAATCATTTTGACCAGACAGGAAAATAAAGTCTCAGTAGTTTACACGTAGACTTAAAAATAAATTGATCCTCTTTAGACCCAAAATTGGCGGAATCCTCAAGGAGTAGGTCGTCTTTTTTATAATCCAGAGTCTTGAGTACTTCCAAATACATCTGAACCAATCCTAAGTTCAATCGGGATCTGTTTCTTGTCAAAATAATACAAACTGCTAACAATTGATTTTAACATGTGTAGGACTCCTTGAAGTTGCCTCATCTTCTGAGGCTAGCTGAACCTTGGATTAACTAAGTCAGGCCAGGGTTCAGATTGATTCTGCTTCACTCAATAACAAAGAGAACATATTGGCAAGATCCCATTAACCGGGTGACATGGCCTTGGTATGGCAAGTTTCTGGTGTATCCAACTTTCAAAGACCCAAGGCACAACAATGAGCCAAAGATTGGAAGTTCATACTCAAAGATAAAATCACATTGTACAGATCAAGGACTGGACTATAATTTAAGAAGATTCGAGACAAGCAATGTTCTTGTCTAAGATTAGTAGGCTTCACGAATGCCTGGGAGGTGCAGTAGTGGTTTCTTTATATCCAATGAGCTGGTTTGTTCTTCCCTCACTTTTTTCTTCACCACGGTTTTTAAAAGGCTACAAACGAAGTTGTTTCCTTCCTCTTTATGTTTTCCTAAATAGCTCTGTTTTCTTAATCATCCCTGTCAATGTTTGACTTGATGAGCAAATTATCCCATTCTTCCCTTACAAAGTAACACCACATATTCATCAGCAGATTCCATTGGTGCTGATCTCATGATTACATGGCTGAAGCTACCTTTGTTTATGTTATTATCTGTTAACATTCTTTGATCCCTAATAGTTACATGAATAGTTTCCATAAAATATCCTTCAGTAACAAAGGGCTGTTATTGAATAACAGCTACCTGTCATCATAATAGATCATGCTATGCCCACCAAGCTAATAGTTGTCAATGGATCAGCTTTCTAATTACAGTTGACCGACAAAAACAAATTAAGACACTAATAGGCACAGACAAAACAAATTAAACATTATCCACTCCTGAATAATCTAGCAAATGGACAAAACAACAACAAGAATTTGTAAGGTACCAAATGGTTAAGGACTTATCATACAGAATAAAACTGAAATCAAAAGCAAATTTCAACCAAGAATGATGCTCTTTTTAAATATTGTAATCAGCATTAGCATTTTTCCTCTCATCTCTAGTTTGAAGTATGTAGTTCTAACGGTGATAAAAAGAACCTTAACACCTCTTACCACCTAATAATAATGGAGATATCACCAAAGTCAGAACTAAAAGTAACATTCTATAACTAATAATGCTGCCAGTAATATATGTTGCCATAAAAGAAAAATCAAAAGAGGCATTCACCTTCTCTAATGAAATTGGGGAAATCTTCGGGCGCACTGTTAGCTTCTTGAATCTTCCTGTTCTGTTCCAGCAATCGTCTCTCATTGTAGGGGTTACTACCCTTCACCTTCCCGGAGGCAGCAGACAGCGCCACCAGCGAGCTCGACGAAGCCAGCGAGATCAGGAAAAGATCCCTCCGGCCTCTGTTCTCCGCTGAACAACCTCGGTCGCCAGCATTCCCCCGATCGCCCCCCAAACAGCTGCACCAAACGAATTACCGATCCAACACCGCAATCGAGCGACAGAAATAGCATACAAGAGGACGAGAAAGGAGTCACTGACCACCGTTCTTGATTGGCTTCGAACTTGGAAGCCCTAGTGACGGCTTTGGAGGGCGGAAATCTTCCAGCTGAGAATTTCGAAACAGAATTGAGGTAACAGAAGGAGAACGGAAAGCCATCGGAGGAAGATGAAGATCTAAGCATACTCCAAGACGAAGCTAACAAAGAAGAAGACGAAGAAGAAGAGACGAGATGCATCCTGTTCTTCTTCTACTCTTCCTCTCTTTGCAAGCTCTTTCGGTCGATAGAGGATCGAGAGAGAGTGAGAAAGAAGGGATTGGATAGTGTTCGCTGGTTTGGCTTCGTTAATGACGTAGCTCGTGGCGGAGTCGGATGCGGTCGTGACGGGATCCGTTACCGATTACGAGTTTGTGCCCTCTTCTTTCCGAACTCACGGTTTTTTGCGGGAAGTTATGTTACGCATAAAAAACAGGTGAGACATGTAACGGCTGTTACATTCCGTTACTTGGCGCATATAGGGTCTTTTGTTCCCCTCTTTTTTTTTCTCGCTTTTACATGTGTATATTGCAAATTATAGATATAATATTTGGAATATTATACAATTTTTTATATAAATACATTACTTCAAAATTTATAATTCTTCACATGTATATATATAAGTGTTGTTAACATCCATTGAGGAAACTCAAACTAACCACTTATAGTCATAGTTAATACTAGCTTATTTAAGTTACATATAAAATGCATAAAATTACCCTAAATTTATATAACATTATAATAGAATTTTAGGGGATACCAATAAAAAAATAATATATATATATATATATATATATATATATATATATAT